AGTTTCTGCCCCCTAATATCCAGGTTTAGACTACCCCTAGCAGGGACCTCTGTGAGACCTGGTTCTACCCTGAGTGCTGGGATGTGTGCCCAGCACTAATCTCGTGCAAGTAGCACAGGACCAAAGCTCCGAGGACTGAGCCTGTAGCCACAGCAAGGGTACCAGATTCTACCCTGAGTGCCGGGATGTGTGCCCAGCACTAATCTTGTGCAAGTAGCACAGGACCAAAGCTCCGAGGACTGAGCCTGTAGCCACAGCAAGGGTACCAGACAGGCAGGAGGAAGAATTTGCAGAGACCCCAAGCAGAAGAGGCCTGGGCATGAGAGTCCCTGACATGAGAAGGAGGGGAGCATGCAGACGAAGGCAGGGAGAGGAGGCAAGAGATGGCTGGTGGCAGAACCACCCGAGAGGAGGACTAAAGGCAGGGATCCATGCCTTGACCCAACCACTGAGTGCAAAAGGGGAGGCTGGAAGTGAAAAGGCCAAGAACGAAGAGCACAGACAGGCAGCCAGAGAAACGCTTCCAGGGAGGCACAGGAGACAGCGTGAGTCACACCTGCTCTCCATGGTGTCAGCAACTCACGTGTGATAGTCTCTGACGCAGTAGATGTTGTTCTCCACATCCACAGTGAAGGGCACCCCGTCCAGGCACTCGTTGCACACAGAGCACCGGAAGCAGCCCGGGTGGTAGGACTTGCCAAGGGCCTGCAGGATCTGGGGATGGGAGGCACTGAAGGGTCAGCACGGGTGGAGGGCTCAGCACCGCCCCCAGGAGAGGCTCTGGCTCTGAGCCCCTGGCAGGTCTGGAACAGGTAAGAGGGTGGGGTCCTCAGACTCCGCCCATGTTAGAGGGGCTCCAGGAAGCTGGGGGAGGTTCTCACCATCTCCATGATGAGGTGTCCACACACGCTACACTTGTCAGCGGTTTGCTGGAACCCGGAGTACTGGGAGGGGACACAGGATCCAGGATATTGTGTGACAAGGGGGCACTCATCGCCCAGCCAGCACCTGCCTCCTGGCCTCGGGTCTCCACTTGAGGCAGGAGGGTTCCCACCCTGCTCCCACCATGGCACCGCCAAGGGCACAGCCTAGACTCACCAGGAAGTCCTCCTGGCAGTATACTTTCTCGCCCACATTGTAGAACGCCTTCCCACGGAGTCGTCTCCCTGCAAGGGCGAGAATTGAGAAGGGGGGTCCCTGGAATGCTGGAAACTAGGGATGGAGCCCCCGCTTCCATCTCTCAGCACCCTCCTCCAACAGATGTGAAGTTGGATTATGGGTAAATTTTTAAATCTACCTTTAATGTCATGTTATTGTTATAATAATAAACATTTCAGAAAAAAATTAAACAGAACACATTGTCATCGGAACTATTGCAAGAGATTGTCAAAGCAAATATATGAAGAACTATTTTTTAAATGAAATTGATGTTTTGACTAATAAACACAGTCGCTTTAAGATCAGTTGAACTCAGTAGATTTTTCAGAATGAATCCTCTTAATCCATGAACATCAGAAGTACAACTTTCACCAAGTGAAGGACCCCAATATGAAAGAGACATCCTTGTCAAAACAACAGCCACAACAGACTCAGCAGCGAGCTGTCAGAGGTGTTGCCACCAGTGTCAGGAGGAATCTGACGAATGAAAAACCCACTGCTAACACCAGACATAACGGTGAAATTTTAAATGCTTTTCCCCTTAAGATTCAACATTGTACTAGAGGTTCTAGGTGGTGCAATAAGACAAGTAAACAAAAGAAAGACATAAAGATGGGAAAGGAAAAAGTGAAACTGTCTTCTACCACAGATGACACAACTGTGTTAGGTAGAAAATCGTAAGCAATCTATTAAAAAAACTACTAGAATAAGTAAATTTAGCAAAGTTGCAGGATAGAAGGTCTGCATATGAAAACCAAATGTATTTTTATATTCTAGCTACAAATGATTGGAAAGTAAACTCAAAATGTTTAAAACTGCATTTATAATGGCATCCAAAAAATGAAATACTAAGGGATAAATTTTATGAAAGATATGTACAACCTTATACTGCAAAACCAAACTTAGCTGAGAGAAATTTGAAAAGACCTACATAAATAGAAAGATGTACCATTGCTGGGAGACAAATCTCTGTTGGGTGCCTTGCATTTCTGCACATCTTGCAAATAGAGGGCTGATAGCTCTCATTCTGTACTACCTTTTCAAGAATGTTTGTAGGGCAAACTCCTTAGAAGACAAAGATAGCATCTCTCT